ATTTAGTTCTCAGATTGTTGTGATGCACAGATAATACACACACCGGAAATTCTTTTTTTTTTTTTTTTAAGATTTTATTTATTTGCGAGAGAGAGAATGAGAGACAGAGAGCATGAGAGGGGGGAGGGTCAGAGGGAGAAGCAGACTCCCTGCCGAGCAGGGAGCCCGATGCGGGACTCGATCCCGGGACTCCAGGATCATGACCCGAGCCGAAGGCAGTCACCCAACCAACTGAGCCACCCAGGCGCCCACACACCAGAAATTCTTACATCAGGTATCAATAAGTATCTGTTGAATGAATGAGTTTATTTAATCCCACTCTGCTCTGCTGGTAGAATGCAAAGTTGGTGAGAAATGATAAAAGAAACCCAACTTATCAACAAATCAAGCAAAAGATATGTTGTAATTTTCACATGGAGACATTTAGACAGCCTAGAAAAGGAAAACTTTAAACACAGACACATATGCGCGCACGCACATACACACACACACACACACACACACACACACACTCCCCACAACTAAATGCTACTCAAACCACAGCCCAACACCCCTTGTACTGCAGAACATTTACAAGTAGGCTGGTCTTGTCTGACTGGGAGTCCAAAATGGCTCGGCTCCTGGCATGCTTTACGCCTGGGCAAATGACATTGGCAATGCGGGTGGGAAAATTCAGCTCTTTCCTTTCTTAATGTGAAATTCACCTAAGGCCTTGGCCTTTAAGTGCATGTTACAAACACCAAAACATCAATTAATTCAAACGTGTCCATTGTGGGGAGCTGAGAACAGAAATTACACCTCTACCTCCCATGTTCTTCATTGCCAAATTAGCTACTAACTGATTAGCACACCAATTAAAATTACTAAAAACAAACATAAAACCAACAGTTCTGATTTTTATAGCAGACCCTAGAGGCTAATGAGCTCAATGGGTTAATCAGCTAAGAAGCTTATTCCAAACAGCAATGTTGCCACATGAGAACGACATACCTCCTCTTCTCCAAAAACGCTGTCCTAAAAAAAAAAAAAAATCAGCAAGAAACAACTTATCATAACAGCATTACAGTTTCTTGAGAAAAGTGCCAGGTGACTTATTTTGAGACTTCTTAATTATAGGCATTTGAGGTTCTTGCTTCATTGATTTATCTTGCTTCCATAAGTACCATTCATTGTCACGTGACTTCCTGAGCCCCAAGTTTATCTCAATTCCAGGCCTCTTTGCCCATTCACCTGTGGGTAGTTACTTTCTTGAAACCCTCTACTCTTTTGGCTTCTCCTCTCACGTACTTGTCCTTTTACATCTTTGGGTGGTCATTTTGTCTCCTCTGAGGAATTTTCTTTTTGCTTTTTAACTTAGGCATGACAACGCGTTGTTAAAGTGTTTTGTATATAGTAGGTGCACAATAAATGTGTGCTGAATAAAGAATGAATTCCAAGGCTCTGGCCTTTATCACTGTATGCTATCCCCTCTGCACTCTCTCTTAAGCTTTAAATACTAGATCTGTACAGAGCGTACCCAAATTATACCAGGAAATAAGTAGCCAATAAAGACCTAAGCATGCCTCGTGTTCACAGAGGACCTTGCCTTTTGCACACAAACAGAACACATCAGAGTGAAGGACTGCATTACTGGCTTCAATTCTTCACCTCTCCCTGAATTCATGCCCTTTGCTCTATGACCTGGCAGTATGTCCCACTAAAGGAAAAGAGTTTATTTCTCTACCTCTTGACTTTAGGGCTGGGCCACACTGACTTATTTTAGCCAACAGAATGAGGCAGAAGTGATAGGATGCTAGTTCCAAGGTTAGGCCTGAAGAGGCCTTTTGAGTTTATTCTTATTCTCTTACACTTCTGCCATCACCACAATACACCCCGCATGGCCACTGGGCTAGGGATGACCAGGACCGGGCACAGCAGAGCTACTGCGGCCGGCCCACCGATCTGCAGGGAGAGGCAGGACTGTCCGGCCAAACCCAGCCTACATCAGCTGAACTCCATTGGTTCATTCCTTCATGTCTGAGTGATAACAGATGATGGGTGTTTAAACTACTGAGCCTTAGAGTAGTTTGTTACATAGCAATAACTACCTGATAGCGTCTGCCTACTCAAACTCTGGATCTGAGAAGCTACATGTATTACCACATTATCTAGCAGTCTAACAGTAGAAGCAGTAGTAATATAATGATGATGGTGATGATAACACTAAATTCATAACAGCTAACCTTATTTGAACACTTACTGTGTGCTAAGCACTTTCTTTTTTAAGATTTTATTTTTGAGAGAGAGAGACACTG